TATTTTAAAAACCTTATTTACTTTATATACAACAATAGTTTAGTTATATATTATAGACTTACAGAAAGAGACCTTCTAAAAACGTTAAAATGTATTACTGGCACACGGAACCTTAGAGTGAATAAATGAAGACTTGGCACACCACTTCTGAAAGGTTGCTGACCCCTGATCTATAGGCTTCCACAGAGATCAGGGCCCCTTGTGCTAGGCACTCTTCAAATTCATAGTATGAGAGGGCCTCTGTGCCAGAGAGCTTACAGTCTAAATAGACAACACAAACAAAAGGTAGGAGAGGGAAACAAGGTGGTGAAGTGACTTGAGTCTCTTAGAGATCAGTGGCAGGGCCAGAAATAGAACTCAGGTCGCCTGGTTCCTAGTCGAGTGCCCTATCCACTGTATCCTGCCTCCCTAAATTCCAATCCAGTAAGTATAGTTCATAATGTACTGCCACCTGGTTAATGCCAACTAACATTTGGACATGCCTGACTTTATTTATTTATTTATTTATTTATTTATTTATTTATTTATTTATTTTTACATTTCAGATTTTGTGTGGGAGACAAATTTTTCCTGAAGAACAACATGATCTTGTGTCAGATGGACTATGAGGAAGGGCAGCTGAACGGAAGTTTTGAGTCCCAAGTTCAATAACGATCCCTGCTTTGCTGAAGCACTGTGGGATGGACGTTCAGCCACACAAGCAGTGAGGGGCGTCTGTCAGCTTGCCTGCAATATTTTTTTAATTCTTGGTCCAGAAAGGACTATATACATTGTAGTACTTTTTTCCCGCCCCCAACACAAAGCAGTTACAAATTTAGATGTACAGTTGTGCCTGCTTAGCTGAGCACTGCATTGCCTGTATGTTTGTGAGTTTTTTGGGGTCTGGGGGAGGGCTCTGTACAGTCTGATTTCTGTATATAAACTGGAACATTTATTTTATGAAAAATGTAATGCAATTTTATTACTGGTGTGAATTAAAAATTATGAATGTTTCCTGGTCATTTTAAGTTGTGGTTTATTCGTAATACAGTTGGGGCTTGTGTTTCCTGCATTTGATGCTGACCAGATATTTTTTTTAAAAAACAATACACAGATCCCTGGAACGCTCATGAAATAAAATAACGGGCAAGAGTTTAAACTACTACAAAAACAGACGAGTTGGGGGAGGAAGTGCTGCTCTGAAATTCAACCTCTCAGTTTCAACCACATCACGTTTAGTCTCCACAATTGCTGTCGTGTAGAAAAGGCATAAATGAGCTCTGTGTGGGTGATAGCTGGGGAATCTTTACTGCATCACTAGTCAATTCCCATGAGGACTGTGGTAAACAACTTCTTTAATTGTTCACCATGAATGGTATCTGTGGCCACAGGCCTCTTTTAAGTGAAAGCACATCAGTCCAGACAGAGCAATGTTATGACCAAGAACCCTATTGACCAACTAATACAGTATCTCTTCAGTATGAACCCTAATGAATAGAATCTATCTAGCCTTGTCAACAGGTGGCCAGTTACTGATCAGAATATTCATTTCAGGGCTTTGGCATGGCTTACTTCTCTTATACAGGGCATCAGTTTTCCAAGTGTCAGGCACCAAAACAGCTGATGCCAGAGACTTCAAACGAAGCCTGCTATTGAACCCACATCACCTGTTTTACAGATCTTTTTGCTTGTCATTTGCCAATTGTTGTGACCTCCCACACAACAAGCTGTCAGATTCCAGTTAATCTAGGTCATTTAAAAAGACTCCGATAAAAAAACTCCAAATTCTATTCAGGCTACTCTTTGTGGCAATTATCAGAGGGGTAGCCGTGTTAGTCTGAATCTGTAAAAAGCAACAGAGGGTCCTGTGGCACCTTTGAGACTAACAGAAGTATTGGGAGCATAAGCTTTCATGGGTAAGAACCTCTCTTCTTCAGATGCAAGACCATTTGTGTCAATTGTCAGCGTTACACAATTCACGTGCAGGGTATGGGATCACACCAAACAATTTTACGTACAACCAACACCATTTTTATACATTGCAGCCAGCACTGGTAAACAATTACTTCAGTTCTATGTACTATATCTCCCTGCTTTTCTTTTCTTTGTTTGTTTCAATTTTTCCCCAGCATGAATTAATAGCCGGCTACTGATCTTGAATCTCGTATTGCTGGTTTCCTCTGCATTACAAATACTATGTACAGTTTTATCTTGGTCTCTCATATCTATTTTTTTTAACTGTGTTTCACAGTACATCCAGAACTCAAGCTGAGCAAACTAAAAAAATAACAGCAGAACACCAGAGATGTAAGAGAAGCACTGAGATATCACTAATAAGCTAACATACCTCATAGTGTATCTTGAGCATTCCTTCTCTTGAACACAGAGATAGATATTTCAGGATCAGGATAGCCATGTGAAACGAGTTGTTTGGTCTCCATTCTGTTTCTGGTTGTCAGGAGTCTTTTCAATAGGTCACTCCTCCAGTTAATACCAATTGGTTCCTTTTAGCAATTTCATCGGGCTGGGGGTGGGGGGAGCATGGATTAAATAGCCTCTAGTGCTAAGAAGGCTATCAAATAAGCTCATGGTTGAGGCTGCTTGTGACAGTATAGGAAAGTCTTCATTTTTCACTACCCAAACTGTATTTGTTCTCTTGATTTAAATCGGTTACCATACCCAGTACTGTCGTTTTGCCACCTTTCGTGCTCTAAATTCAAGGAAAAAATTGGCATGTGCATATCCATGATTTCCTTCCATAGTTTAAAATGATTACATTTGTGATGGTAGGGGTATTATCCCATAGTGATGATAGGAAACCAGCTTTGTTCGCTCCCCTGTCAGGTTTATTTAAAGTTTGAAAGAAGTGTTTTGGTGCCAGTTAAAGAATCTCTTTAGAGAACTGATACTTACTTTTTGATGTCTGAGAAATGCTCTTTCAAGATCATATAACTTAATTTCTTCCAGTGAAAAGAAGGATAAAAATTATCTTTAAAAGATTTGCCTAGACACGTTGGCCACCAATCAGTTCTATTATTACTCAGTCATATGCCGTACTGACAATGAAGTTGAAGTATTAGGGCAAAGTGTAGAAGGGAGAAATCTATCCAGTAGCTTGTAGAGAAGTGGCTCTTAAGAACCTTGGATTATAAAATGGCTGTGTGGTCTGTGTAGGCAGGTTTCTTTTGTGTGATTGAACCACCTGTCTGCTTCCTTTAGGCTGAGAATATCTGAGTCCTCTTTTCTGCAGAGGCGCATCTGGGATGGCTCTTGTTTCATGTAGCCTCAACAATAGGCACACAAACAGAAAGAAGAAAGTTCTCTCTGGACACACGAGAACATTTTTCTACTGAATCACATGTTCTGACAGAGTGCTCACACAGCCTTAAGATATAGAAGAAACATTACAATTTGCCGTTGCTACTATTCAAAACTGTCTAGGCACAGATTAAATTTTCCTGAAGTTCTTTCCTTAATGTAAAGAAAAAATGGGGTTTCTTTTATTTTTAAAGTGACTTAGTAAGAGATGTCAGAGGGTAGAAGGAGATGGAGAATGAAGTTGGCATATGTAATATCTCTGATGGATTTTTGGCGTAATCTTGTTCAGTGGCACAGTGTGCGGGGCACAACCAATGGAAATCAGCAGGAATCATGAGAATGGCAGACAGGTTAATGTCAGATAAAGATGAAATCCAAAAGGACCTGGAAAAAATAGGCCACAGACTGATGAATGGTTTAGGGTTGATGTATATTGTAAACCAAAAATCACAGTGAGAGACTTGAACTGCAATACGGACTGGCCTAAATGGTTACAAATTGCAAGATGCTGGCCAGGAGAGTGATCTGGGATAGAAGTAAAGTGGACAGAAACATAAAAACATTTGCCACAATGGTAGGTAAAAAAGCTAATAGGCATAAGTAGGATATGTAGGACTAAAAAGAAAAGATTAGACCATCTGTACTTGGGGACTGTCAACAAGTTCTAATAAAAGAATTGAGTTTTCTTGAAGCTTTGAAGCTAAGCATGCAATCTTTTTTGAGTACCTCTTCGCTTGCTGGTTTAAGGGGAAGTGCCAAAATGAGATTGTTTCTCTGCCTTGGTAGGGCACAAAAAATACACCGAATGGGTAAAAACGCATTAGCAGTTTCTCATCTTGCCCAGTTCCTGTAAGCTTTCCAGGTTGGCCAAAAGCAAGAACCAAAGACAATACGTAGCAGTAGACCTTAGTGGCTCTGACCTTAGTTGTTCTGAAGCAGATTTCTTGAGTCTAGACAATTTGGTGCTGTACAAAAGGTGAGTGCAAATTCAGCTGGAGCAGTGTTCAGAATTCCGAGTATCCTATTATGAAAAAATAGTACATAAAGGCGTTTGGAAGGCTTGATTGAAGATAACTGTGTAGCTTTCCTAATGAGGCACTCTTTAATGTGGACATGACTGGGCTGTCTGAAACCAGCTCTACTTGCTAACAAAGCTTAATGCCTTTTTTTTTTTGCTTTGCAGAAATCACTCAAGGTTAATGAAAGAAAACTATTGTCATCATGCATCCACCGCACCCTTCTCTGTTTCTTTTGGCCTCCTTTCTGTTCCCTTCCCTACTTCTAGTCTCCTTGGCTCTATCTTCTCCAGTCCCAGTGGGAGAGGAAAATAACTATGGAAACAGAGAAAACCATCTCTGGCAGTCTTGAATAGCATGTTCCATGATGTCCTTGTACCAACAACCCTCCAAAAGAGTGAAGTAGGCTTAGGGAGCAAGAAGTTTCAAGCGCTCCTTTTCAGCCTGCCTCTTTTTTTGGACTGTTGGAGAGAGGATACCTCAGTAGAAAGGATCATCTCCAATTACATGAACTGTTATGTGCTGTTGCAAACACTTCTGCAAACATCAGAAAACTTCCACCCAGCGTGGAAATGGCAAAAAAATAAATTCTGGTGGCTTGCTTTCTGCATAGCTTACATTATTTTATTTACTTATGCAATGGTAGCACCTAGGGTTCCTTTGGAGACCCATTGTAAGCGCTATACAAACACAGGACAGTCCCTGCACAGAGGTGTTTATGATCAAAGTCTAAGACGAGACAACAGGTGGAAACAACAATCAGTCAATACCGGGTCTGTCTATTTAAACAGAGCCCACCAGCTGCTGAACCATTGTCAGGATTTTTGTAGGCATCATTGCAGATAGATGCCTGCCAAAAAATCCCCAAGTAGTTAGTGTTCAATTGGTGGAGAAGGGGGAAACGCTTGTGACCTCATCAAGCCAGCTCCTGGTAGAAGTATGTCAGTTCAGTTTTGGCATGTTGTCTTCAGCCAAGCTTCACATCTCACCAGGGTATTTTTCCAGGTATCGTATACACCAAAAACACAGGGCTGAACTCTGCTCTATTACACTCTTGATTGCTTTTCCTTGATGGGGTGCTCTTACATCTTCTAATTTTTTTCACAAATCCTTGACCGTGATAGGTCCTAAACTTCAACATTAGTGATGAGGCAAAATACATTTGTGTGTGCATGCCAGATTCTGAAATCCTATCACCTAGTGAAGGAAAGATGTTCTTGTGGTAAAAGCCAGGACTGTGATTCATGAGAGCCAGGTCCTATTCCCAGTGCTGCCTCTGACTTCCTTTAAGAACTTAGGCAAGTCCCCTGTGTCTCACTTTCCGTAGGCCCATCTTAAAACGCAGATAATGGCTACGTCATTAGGGCGCAATGTGGATTAATGCAACAGTGCTAGTGAGGCACTTAGAGGTCCTTGGATGGAAGGTGTGATAGTTTGCAAAGTGGTATTAATGTCATTATTAGAAGGCTGGATGCAATTGCATTTAAAAGAGACAATGGGGTTGCAGGAATGGAATTGTAGGTTAAAACATTTCTGATCATCAAGATTTCCAATGACTTACCATACCCTACCATGGGCATAACATTGTATATGTTATCGGGTGTCAGTTGCATTAAAAATTGTGGTTAACCACTCCAGCAAATGTAGGGATAGTTGATTTAATGCTTGATAGTCAGGATTAGTATTGT